AATGTGGCACTTTGACACTGCTTTTTCGTTTCTTTCTACATCAATGAGAATGTGGACACGGTCAATGGATTACAACACAAGGCTAATTCGAGTACACAAGTATTTTTGCAATACATCTGCAACTGGTGTGAAGATGCGACTTCGTGTGCACGTCCTCACTGGAGGTTGAACAGATGACAGCTTTATACATATGTGTGGCATGCAAGCCTTTTGAGACTTCACTGGATTTCGGCTGTCTATGAATGGGAAACGCAGCAAAAGGGGGTATGGAAATATACACTCCCGTGCATATGGACTGCATGTGCTACGTTTCTGGATGTAACTTGCATGGTGGCTACAACATGATGTTGTCAATGGTTTATTTGGGCAGAACTCTGAAATTGATGCAGAATGGTTTGAGAACAACTGGAATTGGTTACAATACCGTGAAGATGCGTTTTGTGTGCATGTGAGTGTTTTTCGTCAACTTGGTGAAGAAGAAGAATGTTTTTGGAACTGAAATTCATTTGCGACGAGGTTTTCTGGACTGCAAATGAATTTGGAGATGATTTTGGTATGGACGACTTTTTGGACAAGCTCAACGTTGTTTTCCAAACACATGTGCATGCGTTTTCAACAACAACCTTGACTGGAATGGTTTTCTGCATGATGCGTTTTATTTTCGGAAGCTGCCAACTATTTTTGTCAACAGTTTGGATGTTTTTGGAATTTGTGCAAACAGTGCGTTTGAAGAGAAGTTGGAAATGGAGTTGATTTATTTTTGGAGAGATGGTGAATTCATCATCAATGAATTCACCAACATGATGAGAATGTTTTTCGACCGCCGCCGTTGCATGTTGCAAAGGCAAAGCAGCTGAAACAGAAGAAGTTCAACCATAGCATGCTGCATGTGCACGACAGACAATTTACCTTGCTTTGTGTTTCCTGTGTGGAAAAGGGAATTGAGTTTTGCAGTGACAGCCGTCGTGTTTTTTGGGTTTTAACTTGTTAAACGCTCGACGCGGAGTTAAGCCGACCCCTTGCGACGTTAGGAGCGCGACTAGTGGTTGTAATTAGGTCCTGTTGGATTTTCGCATACCCAGGCCTCGCCGAGCCTCGAAGCGCCTCGATTGCAGGCTTTGGAAACACGGGACCTCTTTCATCAACACGAAAGAAAAAGATTGTTATGACCAAGACAAGCAGGTACAAGGAGCTAGTTTTGGGTTCGTTTTTGGCACCTAAAATTGATAGGGTTTTTGGAGACGGAGTTGGAGCCTCCCGTGTACGCCCCATTTGAGATTTGAATTTCACATTGGCAATCATCCAACTTTGCAGACAAAAAGGGATTGCGTCTGCTTGCAACTGTTGCATTGACTTGTAATTTACATTTTATTTCTGTTACTCATTTTGTTTCACGCGTGGCATTCGCGTATCCACCTCTTTAATTAAGAAACAAATTGTCTACACTGGGTATGAACATTTGTATGTCTGAGAAAGTCAGTGAGAAGGAGTCGTCCTCGTGGTGCAATTGGTATCGCGGCATTCTTTTGTCGCTGACAGATGCCGGTGGTGGTTCGATTCCCCGCTGGTCCGCGCGTAAGACTCAAGACCGTAGACCCGCCGAAAGGCAAGGGGCTCGAACAAAAAAAGAGAAAGTCAGTGAGAAGGAATGCCATGTCGAAAGGAGGTGTGAAAATTGTGCACCTCATAAGGCTGACCTCAACCTACAGTTAGCGACATGTCATTCTCCATTGTGACCTTCATCATGAAGTTTTTTTGCAGTTTGATGCACAGAGAATTGGTGAACGACAGTTTATATGTTGTTGGAAAGGCCTGTGCATTTGTACTGCATTATGACCACACTACCCTACTCTCACGAGTATGGTTTCGTGTGTTTGGTATTTGCAGCCTTTGTGGTTCCTTTTGAGTGTGATTGATGTTGACCTGGAATGTGATGTATTGGTCGGCTCTACACCTTATTCCGGATTCCACCCGAATCCGGTGCAGCCTACGGCGAGCTGAAGATACATACATTGGTTGGACATTGAGATCTTTTATCATGTCTTTGACATCGAGCAGTTTGAACTCTCCAAGTAAAGGCGATTTCGTCGCGTAGTGGTATAATGCCCGTCTCAGGACCGTGCATAGACAGCTAGCCGCGGATCGATTCCCCCCGGGTACGGGGCCGCGATCGTGACGTGGTAGACGAGTAAGTCTCAAGTACCGTAGACCCGCCGAAAGGCAACGGGCTCGGGCAAAAAAAAAAGTTTGAACTCTCCAAGTAATGAGAACATACAGCTGGAAACTCTTGGTTAAGAGTTCATGTTGGCTGAAGGCATCTGATGGGAAGAACCTAGCTTGAATCAGAAGATTTTGGATAGCGAGATGCATTGGTATTGTGAAGACAATGACAACATTAGCGCATCCTATGTCCGAGAATTTGCCTGGTGAGATGCTTCGGCATTGTGAGGACAATGCTTACATCGTCATCAGGGTATCCGGATATCATGAGCAGCGTCCGGAAGGATATCACGTTACTCTTAGGATGCTTGATCTGGACTTTGTGTTTTATCGTCTTCTGGAACGACTTTATTCCATTGTGAGTTGGTTATAACAGCGGACGAAAAATTACAGCGAGTAGGAGGCATATTGGCACTTTGTTCCTGTGGTTTTGGTTGTTCTGGGCCCCGGCCCCTTTCCCTGTATTGTTTTGGGTTGTGCCGATACGCACTCTGGCTGGGGGATTTGCGCTTCGGTCACTTCGCTGGTGGTGGTTGTGTTTTTGTTTCGCTTTTGTTAAGTATGCCTACTTCCAGCCTGCATTGTGTACAGTTCTGCTTGAGATCGCGTTTATTGGTCTCGCTTTACTCTTAATTCGTTTATTGCTATTGCAAAGGACCGAGCCTTTGAGCTGAATCGGCCGCACTCCAAGGGAAAAACAATATGCATGGCTTCGGAATGAACCCCCCATTCACCACGTCGCTTTGCCGTGGCAGTGCTTGCGGACGCTGGTGACAGCCCTGACAGGGATGGACTCGAGAAGCTGGCATTGTGGCTCTGTCATGGGGCGCGGTGACGCGCATAGAAGCGGTCCTTGCTGCACAAAGAAAACGTCTGGTTCTCCCAGGCGATGTCGGCAACATTGTCAATTTTGCTTTGCTGGAGATACATGAGCGGAAAACCAGCGGCGAGATTGGATCACCCACAATTTTTGCTGGTGTTGTGCATGGCCTTTGAGAAGCTCAGCCCGGAGCAAAAATTTGTGGCCAATGTCAATGTCGGCCCAAACAATGTGGACCCGTTTCCAAAAACGTCTGAAGGCCAATGATTTGGAAGCCCTGCCTTCTGGCCTCAGCCGAGGCCTTGATTTGGGCAGCCTTAGGGCGGCGGGGGCCTCGCTTCTTACTTCGGAGGATTCAGAGCTCACGCGCAGACGTGGCAGGTGGATCACCCACAAGGTGATGGAGGTCTACGTGCAGGAGATTTCCTCCCTACTCCAATTTTTGCTTCGTCGTCCTGAAAGGATTCGAATTCAGATACTGTCAGGTGCTGCGCTTTTCCTTGGAGCCTGGCGAAAACTATGATGTACTTCCAAGTTTCCATACCAGCCTCAGCCTGGTGTGTGCTCTTCAAAAATGAGGCCGTCTATGACCCACCAACGGCAGAACAAGATGGGGAAACGAATCGATGCAGAAAGGAATGGGTGGAGATGAGCAGCATGGCATGTCAGTCATGCCCTGTACACTGTGCAGCCAGCATGGAGCCAAAAAGAGTGCAGAGCGTGAAGAGTTATATAAACATTCTAATTGTAGTATTGTAGTGTCATTTCCATACTCTAATTGTCGCGCTCGTGATTCATGAATTCGTTATATGTTAACCAACTTTTATCTTATTCACAAAAAACTTTATTCTAACTGCCAGTCCGTTCTAGTACACTGGTACAGTCACACGGGAAAATCATATAGGACAGTGAAAAATTGTTTCACAAAAGTGCTTCACGTGACTGCATTCGGGTTCGTTGGTTGGTTTTTTCCGTCCAGCAATGGAGCAGGATGAAGTTGGGTCTAGGGTTTAGGTAGGAATTGCATCCAGATTCAAGGCTCTTTGCAGGCCAAATGTTTGTTCATTCTATCTTTGATTTATTTTTGGTTCATAATGCTAGTTGGATGACTTTTGCAGTTGGATTGGGAAGCTTGGAGGGAACCTTGTGGAAGTGAGGCGACGGGGCAACGAAGAAGATTCGATGCTGGTGGATGGTGGTGATAAAGTACCGGGGTGAAGCATCATTTGATAAAATTTTGATTCGCAGTTTTTTGGTTTTCTCCTTAGACACCTTAGTTTTTTGGGTGAGGTCTTTCCTCAATGGAGTTTCATGGTCTACGGTGATCCCGCCAATTTGTGAACCACAGACTCTTTCAGCAAATTTGTCCATTAGAGTTTTAGGACAGGACGATGATGTGATTTTGCCATAGAGTCACCAAAATTTGGTCAGTCTCCTGTCACTGAATGGCGGAAAATTTGCATGCTATTTTCAACGAACTGCAAATATGTGGTGAGGCCGAATTCATGGACCAAACGTATCATAAAGGTTTTATTGCAACACCAACCATGGTGGTGTTGACAGACAGGTTTCACATGTTGTGCCAACACAAATCAAACGTTTGCTACTCCGTTTCGTGTTTCCGCCGGCAATTTTCTCACGATCGCAGCCTCTCACCCTGCCGCAATAGCAGCGGAAGGGTTTGACATGACAGTAATGTTGGCAGTGTGTTTCCCCGAACCATTTGAAACACGGAACACATTTGTTGAAAGAATCACTTGGGGGATGCAGCCAGGGCCGCCGATCGCATGAATTGCTTTGGCCACAACCATTTTCACATTTGGTGAGTTAGTCGAATTCATTCGCTTTAGCCTTGGACCCACCAATTTTTGAAATTGTCGATTTTCCACCACAATTTCACAGGGCATTCAATTTTGATCCAGTCAAAGGGAAACATCTGACTCCGGAAACTGCTGATCCCATGGCCGGCGATCTTCCGGACATTCCTCCGATTCCTCCGGCACTGGGCGTGTCCCGGGCAGGGAAACGGCAACGGATCTTCAATCCCTTGGTGCCAACCTACATCGATTATCCAGCCAGCCATAGGGAGAAGGCGGGTCACGGCCCGTTCTGGTGATACTCTTGAATTCCATCGCTTCATGATCACATGCACAGTAATCATGACCGAAAAAACCGTTGGATAATGGTTTCAATCATAAACTGAAACATGAAACTAAGTGTATGATTGTTTATCATGACCAACTTGCATGGAACTATTGTTTCAACATTTTCCAAGTGTTCAGTTCCGCCCCTCAGCCGTCCAGGTGGGTCAGTTGTTCAACCTCTTCGAACGTGACCTGGATTCCATGGAGGAAGACCTTGGCACCTCGGGTTCCGACAGAGGGAACGCCCAGGAGGATTTCTTGCGGGGATATCACCAGTGGAATGTTGGGTTTTATGGGGATGTAACCATAAAGAGGGACATTCTGGGGATATCTAAACCATTTATCAATTTACTATAGTTTACTATGATTTGGGTTTATTTGAAAATGACGTATACCCCAAAATGATCCAAAATGGTGTTTTTCATGGGAGGAAATTTAAACCATCAGATTTGTGGGTATCCAATTTTCATGCAAACCCATATGGATATGTGTAGTTGGACAGTTAGTGGCTTAAAAAACATGTGACACTCCAATTGTATGTGAGATGTGGCGCATTTATACATGGTTGATTATGAACCACTCATTGATTCGGATGCACCCCAAAAATAGGGATGGGTGGGATGGGTCAATACTCTGTCTGATTCACTGTGATCAACCCTTGTTTGGGGGATGAACTTCCACAAATACCAAGGGTGAAACAGGGTACCATGGGTACCAAAGTTTCGATCCGTAGCTGGGTTATGCCATACCCTATGGGTCAATATTTTTTTGTCAAATGAAATCACACTTTCATGAACTAAACCTCCCAACCCCAACAACAAATTGACCTTGTGCGCAATTCCATCGTGTTTACCTTCAAGGGACGCCTTACCGACCGCTGAAAGCTCCAGGTTGCGAGACCTGTGTTGGAGAAGGCATCCCCTCGTGGGCTTCCTGGTCTGCCGAAGGATGCGGAGACAAGGCTCTCGGGGTTACTTCACCACTAAGTCGTCACTAAACACGGGGGTTTGAACGTGTTTTCACCTCCCAAAGAGCGTCCCCGAACTCCCAGACCGCAGGAAGTGGAAGTCATCGAGTTCTACCAACGTCAGGTGCAGCTGCTCGAGAACCTGTTGGCACAGCGATACAAGAAAGCAGGTGGCACCGTGGAGGGAACAATCTTGGAGCTAAATGGATCTAAATGGAGAATTTCCCATTCCTATGTTTGATTACCGGATGGAAACCATTTGGAAATATCATCATTTGGAATATGGATTTTACTATCAACTATGGGATTTAGCTTTGGAGTTGTTCCTAGACACTCTTTGAGTGATTTGTTTTCAGCAGTTCTCGAGATTTTTGAATTTTGATTTGATGAATCAGCTGAAAGGAGTTTTTTCCCCAGATAGCTGGCAAGCTATAGGGGTTCTTACTTCTCAAAGGTGGGGTCTTCGGTGGCGAACTTTTGGCCAAGGTGCTGTGCAGGGTGCTGTGCAGGGTGCTGTCCAGACTGCCGTGGCAGGGTGTTGTGCAGGGTGCTGTACAGATTGCGGTGGCGAAGTCTGGCAAGGTGCTGTGCAGGGTGCTGTGCAGGGTTTCTAACAGCTCACAGTGTGCAGCGTCCCTACGCCTACACGGTCGCACTGCAGCCACCTGTTTGAGCTCAGCGCAGTGTCATGGCTCCTAGGCCACAGTCCATGTGGCCGCATCGCCTTTACACTTGGGCTATTGGGCCCCAAAGAGTCAACAGAAATAGGAGGTTAATGCTATGATCACATGTCAAGTCAACCATGCTCACAACTGCACAGATCAAAATTCTTTGTTGACTTGACTTGCCGGTTTCGGCATCCTAGATACCTCCACGATAGCCAGAGCTGGACTTTGCCTTGGCCTTTGAAGCTACTCCAGCCGGGGCAGGACGTTCTGACAAGCTGTCCACCCAGTCCTCAGCATCCGTCATGTCATAGCGCTCAGCCAAGTCGCACAATTCGATGATCTGATCAGGATTGGCTCCAAAGTCACGAAGGAGCACCTGCAAAAGCTTCCGTTTCCACAACGGGAAGTTGTGCAGGCGGCGGCTGACCTCCCCACAGAGATCTGCAATCGCCGCATGGTACTCCTCATCCTTCGGCACGAAGGCTTGACGTTCCTCGGCCACCATGACTTTGCCCTTCTCCGTCTCATCGAAATCCACACATTCCCAAAAGGCAGATTCATAGCCTTTCCCCTGCATATAGTCCAGAGCTTTGCCCCAACATTGAGCTCCCTCCGGAAGCGGCTCACGAGTGCCATCTCGAATCAGCCGAGCGTAGATCTCGAAGACCCGTTTGATCATCTTCTCAGCTCCATCCATCAAGACTGCCTGACACGTCAGGGTGATCATCCCAGTAGAGCGATGGTAATGGCATGTGACCATCGCGTCCTCTCCCTTGAACTTCTGGGAATTCACCACCTTCGCCGGGATCTTGGCTTTGCACCCAGCTTTGCTCTGCGTCAGGTTCTTCAGGTAGCTATCTTCATCCTCCGTGAAATCTGTCACCAAAACTTCAAAAAGGCACCGCACCTGTGGGTCGGTGAGAGCTCGCACATCGACCTTCACCATGCTGGATGGCCCGTCGGATAGGAAAAACACCTGACTAACCCTTTGAGCACCACTCACGGATTGGTCGGCTTGACGTTTGGCAAGACGACGCTGTCGCTGGTCAGCAGCAGCTTCCATGACAGAACTCTCAGAATTCAGATGATATGATTTTGATACTATCGCACCCCTTAGCACATCCATGGCCTCTTGACTCTCTTTTGTAAGGGCATCAGCTAACTGCAACCAAGTTGGACACCAACGAATAATCCCCTGAATCCTTTGCAAGGCTTCCTTGATGATGATGAGATCTATGGCCACCCTTTTATCAGAAACGCTCCCTGGTGAAGCATACTGCTGCAAGTGGTCGTAGATACTCTTGCAATCAACAATGGCTTGGATTTGAAACCTGCTCAAGAATTCACCCCGATGTTGCAAACTAAAATCACTGAAAAATGCCTCTGCCAAGTGGCACCCCACCCACTCAGTATGGCCAAGCCCATCTGCCAAGACTTGGGTCTCACCCGCAAATGTCGAACCCACCACTCTCTTCAGACGGTAGGACTTCCACACAGCTGGAGACCACGGCGCTGTTTTGCCCTGCTGTAGTTCAGAAGTAGTAACTCCAACAATATAGCCCGCTTGAGTGCCCTTCCCTTTTGCATTCCCAAAAGCAGCATCAGTGTGAACACATAAACGCAACTCTTCAGGAGGAATAGGAAGGATATTCCACTTCAGATCCTTATACTGTCGGGCCCTGCGGACAATGTTGGAAACTGTACGCGCTTCTGCTATGGTAGGGTTAGGCATCATTTGCTGACCCTGTGACACTTGTACAGACAAATCTGGACGTGTCTCCTTTGCTAACCAAAGAGCCCCACCCAAACACGATCGTAACGATGACACTTCTTCTGCATTGGCTGTCATGGTTGGTTCTACCTTCACCCTGATCTTTGGTTTGGGGAGTTTATCAACAAACGACTCTTGGCTAATTTCAATGGCCCACGTCTCCGGGTCCTGTTTGAGGAATGACCCGCAAAACTGTCCTTCGAAGCGCTTCCACTTCCGAAAAGGAAATGCTTGCCGGAGCTGTGCCAACGCCGACTGGTATACCTGTCCTCTTCCTCCAATCAACACATCATCGACATGAACACCCATGATGCCCACTAGTTGTGCACGATCATCACGAAGAAAGAAAACACATGGATCCATTTTGGACTGTAACCACTTCAAACCCTTTGCTGTCCCCGAAAACTTGGTAAATCAATGTTGAGGGGAATCATTCAGACCATAAATAGGTTTGACCACTTCGAAGAGTTGTTCAGGATGATAACCAGGCAACGGATATGTGCTCGGGGCTGACATGTACAGCTTCCCCGACTTCCGCTCCACGCTGTCGGCTTCAAGGAATGCTCCCGTAACATCTCCCAGCTCCATGGGAAAATGAAAACTTGAAATGGTTTGCAAGACTGTGAAGCGACCATTTGAAGAGATTGTCGGTGCTTGGGTCTTTCCTTCCCTTACCAAGGCAAAAAGGTCGGGGTCTCTATCACCTCTCGCTGTCCATCTGGCCTTCACGATCTCTTCACCCGTCTCTTCACACTTCAGTGTCAAAACCAGCTTTGAAGGAACCACCCTGTCACCCGCATGCTGCCTAATCTTCCTAGATTCTTCAAGTGAAAGTGGTTTGAGGGCCCCTTTGTTCTGAATGACATTGGTCAGCTCTTTCTGAATCCCCGCAACCAACAACCTTTTGCCATGGTCCTCTTTCCAACGTGGATCCTTCAGATTCAGCTCACCGCGAGCGCCAGCGATCAGGCACGCATCCTCACCGTCTTAGCAGTGAAGCACGAAATTGCCGCTGTCATCATCTTCAGTTTGTTGAGATGACATGCACACCGCCGCATCGGCTGAATCCCTAGCACCCTCTGGAAATACCACATGTGACGAAATAAAACCAGATTCTGGACTTGATGGTGAATCGGGATTTGATGTTGCTGAAGAACTTCCAATGCCCCCTGATTGCCCAGAACTACTGTCAATAGTAATAGGTACATCCTCTGTCCTAGTTGGTGGTGCCGGCAAAGCTGGAGGAAAAGTTTGTCCCATAAACATCTGTGGTTGACCCTGCATTGATGTTGTTGTCGACCTATTTTGCTCATCCAGTCTTGGACGTTTGGGATCCCCTTGTGACGGTCCGCTCGGATGATGTCGGGCTCCCAGTCCATCCAGTCTATCCGCTCGTTCTGCAGAAATTTTCCATTGTTGAAGTTCATGTTGAGACATCTGACTGAAAGCTTCACTCAATGATCGGCTAGACTGATTGGACTGCCCTTCATGCAATGACGCCGGAGCACTCGCCGCCGCCGCCGGTGCAGTCTGCTGACTCGCCGCTGGCTGTGAGACCCTGCAGTCTGGCATCTGTTCCATCCCAGGAGAAAGCAAATCGCCCGGGGGTCGATCTTCCCCAGTAAGGTCAGTGAAATTCTTCTGGCTATTTGGGGATAGTCCAACTTCAGGATACAAAGACGCCGCTGCTGCTCGCAAATCTCTAACCAGGAAACGATCAGCCTCCCGCTCTTCTGACGTTCGGAGTCTGAGTTGCTCTGGAGCACATTTGACAAAAGAACCTGGCATAGAAACCCAGTAATTGCCTCCTGTCTCCCCAGCCACTACACCTGGACCTCGCCACCTTGCTGATGACTTCTTGATTCCTCTACCCCGTCTCCAAATAGCAACTTCGTCCCCTGGCTGAAAAACTCGCAAAGGACGTGGCCGGCTGTTCAATGCAATCCTGGCTGCACGGTGATCTAAGCTCTGCAAAACTGCCTGCCGTGCATTGCTACGTGCTCGATGTGCAAACTCTGCAATCGCATCTTCCAAAATAGCCGAATTTGCTATGACGTTGGGGTTTTCTGAAAACAAATCATCACCTGGAATTTCAGGGTCCCGCCCAAAAACCAATTGAAAAGCACTGTACCCATGTCTCTTCATGAGCATGTTCCTTGCTTCGACTGTCGAATCCACACATTCAACCCATTCCAAATAGTTCGAGGCTTTGGTTTCAGCTATCACCTTGAGCAACACCTGTTCAAAATGCTGACCCTGAGCTTCCACATCGCCCATCTGATTGTGGGCTTCTCCAGGCACATCCAAAGGCACTGTTCCATCTCGCTCGAGACAGTCCAAAAATGTCTGCCCCAAGTTGCATCGGCCCGCATCAAATTTCACATACTTGGGCCGGCCGTAGCTCCTAGTCCACTGCCGATACAATCTTGCAATCAGTTCAGAACACTCCTTGTCTCCCTCCCTGAAGGGATACATCTGTTGTAAACCAGAAGCCCTACAAACAATGTTCAAAGCCTTGATTTTGTAGTCCTTTTTCCAAGTGGGCAACCATTTTACATCCAAACCAATGTATCGAAGTGGAGCTAGATCTCTAGGGGGTGCACTGTCCTTTACAGCTTTCGGGGCACTGTTGGCCTTACAGATGTCACATGAGAAGGCTTTCACCAGCTCCAGCACCTCCGGTTGCGCTCGGTGATGTTGCAAGATCCGCAGCATGTCAGCCACCGATGCATGTCCCAAGTTGACATGAAGTTTCTTGAGTGCTAACTCAACCCTTCTACGACCCTCAGCTTTCATTGGTGATTGAATTGTGGACTGGCTGATTGGAAAACAAACACTATCAATCTGGTCACTCATCGCAAAACCACCCAAAATTTTCCTAATCAGCTTCTTGGGATACACCTGACTTTGGACGGACCGTAGTTGGCCCCCTGATGAGCCTTCCACCACTTGATGTTGGTGATCCCCTGAGCACACCAATGGCTCCAGCATTGTGGCCACCGCCATGGACGATGTCATGATGCGCCACTTCTTGCCGAAGGGCAACTTGTTCACCTTGTCCAGCAAGCCCACTGCACAGGCTGAGACGTTCACCTGTGGATGATGCCATCTCTGGACAAACGCCAGCATCTCATCCATGCTCCAGGCCTTGCTGCCGTTGGATGACTCAAAGAAA